CACGACGCTCTTCCGATCTCCCCAAAACCCCAAAACCCCATTAGACATTATAAGACATCGATTTTAAAAAAATCAAAAATAAATGAATGAACTTGTAATAACTTGCAATTGAATGACTCGATTAACATTATTTCTTATCAATGATTTTATTTTGCTCTAGTTTGTTACTTAAATGAGCAATAAAGAATAGGCTTCTAATTATAGTCGTTCTTTTGAATAGTGTCACATTGCATTTTTATGCCATGTGGAACCATTAATTCGTCAATCGGAGTGCATTTTATGCTTCTATCAATTTGATTATATTTGTTGTTAAAAGTATTCTGAGTTGTTGACTTTCCATCAAATGGAAGTTTCTTAGATGGTGAAAGTGTGCCTTTTCTGTTAAGATCTCTATATTCGTTTCGCTTTAGAGAGTCATTCAAAGACTATTTATTGTCCTTATTTATATTATTGAAATCATTTTTATAAGTGGTGCTGTCATCAAACTTTCTCGGCATTTAAGCCCTTGATGGTTCAGGTTTATGCTTTTGCTAACCCATTCCACCTTCCCAGTTAGCAAACGTCATATTATATGTAGTAGAAGAGATAAATGGATCCACTTATCCAGAAGATTGGCCTCTTTAATTTCTCTGTGTTTGTCTGTTCTATGGTATAGCAGTAGGTTCTACAGTGTAGGGCTTATAATTAACCATCGAAGTAGTATTGAAATCCTTGAAAGTCTCATCTACAATCTTGAATTCTTACTTTGTCTTATCGTAATTGAAAGGCTCATCTCTTCTTTGATGGCCATATTTATTGAAAGAATCCTTGTAATTAGTTGTGGTCTTTTTAGGATACTTATATGACAAGATTTTCTAGCGATTTTTAATGCATTCCTGACATCCATAGCATTTACCGTGTTCATCTTCGTGATTCAAGTATTCGTCTAGATTTGTTCTTAGGAATGTCTTTGGTTTAAGCTACTTAAAGCTTTTCATAAGAGAATCTTAGGTTTGATTAGATCTATAAGAAATGCCTGAGGAAGCTTATTCACGCTATAGATCATAATCATTCTGATAATTTGGAGAAATTTGTTGAGAACTTAGAACAGAATTTTAATTTGAGTACCTTCTTTGCTAGGTTTTTTAATGCAGTGTTTATTTACCTTTAATTGGAGTCGCATAATCATCCTCCTTTGGATTATTATTGTTTTATGGTTTACTGTTGAGCTAACTTTTATTATTCTTAATAAATGACTCAGTCAACTTTTATTGAATAGTACTATTCCTTTATCGATTGAATCCTGAGTTTTAATTTGCACTTTTGGGTCTTAATGTGCTTGTGTTAAGTGTTGAACTACTCAGATCTACCTTATTTTGGATAATTGATTTATTTGCATTGTTATGAGTATCGTATCTTTTACTATGATTTAACTATGCTTTTTACTTCATTATAACTGGTGATTGAAAATCCTAGTTATATATACTGTTTAAAACCTAAAAAGTCGTTTTATTGTTAAGAAAGAAATACCTAGGTCTACTTTGACTTGAGGAAGTCATGAATAGTAAGATTTTTCATTTTGATCCAAATTAAAATAAATAAAAATAAACTAATTCTAAGTCTCATTCTTGATTTTCCAAAACTCCTGATTGCTATAAAAAGTGTCAAAGGGGTTTTGGGGTTTTGGGGTTTTGGGGAGATCGGAA